TTGAGATTTGGACGACTCCATCCCGAGGCTTGGGTCATCCACGACGGTCATGAACCCGAAGTCCGCCAGACATGCTGAGACGGGGTTTGTATTAGTTATCAGGATATTGGCCTATGCAATCAGATGAGGGGCGTCCGTGGGATCCTGACTGGGAGACTTACACCCTTGAGGTCGCCATGTACAATGCTGGCACCGTGAAGGTACCTCAGACCTTCAACAGCGTCCGCAAGCTGTAATGTTTTGAGGAAGTGATGACAAGGAAACCCAGGATTGTAGCCTACCAGCTTCAGGTGATTGCTCGCGTGAGTGCGAACGAAATCCATGATGTTACCGTTGACCATCCATACGGAAACCATGGAGAACCTCCCCTTCTCGAGGGTGTCCGGAACCCCAATGAGGGTGAGAACGTTGGGGTGGGACAGGTTCTTCCACATGGCAACCTCTTTGCAGAAACGCTGCGCAGTGTGAGCGAGCCTGAACAAGCAGCACTGGCAAGGCTTCCAACCTTACGAATTCGGATTTTGTCGTCCGATTCTGAGATTCTCAACGACTTAACGGCAACGGTCACCTCCCCAGACTTGGACACCTTCCAAACATTCGAGAAGCCGCCGGAAGTGTAAGGTTCCCCAGAGAGGTCGAACTTGTCGGGTAAGAGGTAGGAGCTGGGGAGGTGTCCTGTCCTGCCGCACAACTTTTTGAGAACACTGAAAGCGATTATTTTGAGATCTTTGTCCAGTTGCAGTTCTCGGAATGCCTTTAATGTCAGAGATAAAATCATTAAACAGGCGCCAGAGAACATTTCAGAGAAACATACGCTTGCGATTATCCCAATGAAAACCTTCGCATCCTCTTCAGATAGGGCGAGGATAGCCGTGCGCTCGTCCTTTGACAATAAGAATGACCGGAACAAGTTCAGAAAGCCTTCAGAGTTCGGGTCGGGTGGAAGGTAATGCAATCCTGGCGGCACATTGTTTGAGAAGACTGGTTCGCACGGATCTCAGATAATGACTCGGCAACAGAAGCTACAAGATCTCACTTCTCTTTGGCTTTGGTTTAGCGTTTCGCGCTTTCGGTAGGCCTGGATGGAATGGGGCCATGGTGGCGAGTGCAGGAAGGATGGGCGGCGTGTTCGAGGGCAGGTGGACTCAGGCAACAGTACAGTTATACGCGCGAAGGCCACGAGGCAAGCTAGGTCCATCCTGACTCTCTATGCCTGGGAGTCGGCATCAACACCCAGATATTTGATCAGTTCACTTGGCTGATCATCATCACCCCTTTGCGATAAGGGTTGGATTAGTGGCTCCGGTCCGCAATCGCTAATCGTCGGCAACTCGCCGGGGAGGTTGGTGGCCGTTCTTTTGGCTGCGAAACTGGGAAACTGAGTTAATATGGCAGATGTAAATCATTTCCGGGACTCCTATCGCAAGGGTCTTGCCCCGGTGGCGGTAAGATTGGAGAGGATGTATGTCACGGCTTGAGCTCGGCTAGGGCCGCGCCTTCAGCAGGTGTGTACATAACGGGATGTAGCGCCGACTCTGATATCGATTTCCCGTGAACGCGGTCCGCAGTCATCGAAACTTTTCCTCATCCTCCAACCCTCTCAGGTGGCAGTACTTAAAGGCCTCAAGGGTCGAAGACGAGCTTTCGATCTTGAACCCATCCCACCACCCAGACTTTCCCTCCTGCCCCTCAGATTCTCCTATTTGTTCCTGACCTACATCGTGGCCAACGCATGCCAGCCAAAGCAGATCAGCTGATCGCTTTCATTAAAAGGCAGCGTGACCTTCTTAATCGGGAGCGCGATGCAGAAATCGAACAAAACGCGCTGCTCCTCACAAACTGTACACCAAAGCTACTCGAACAAAAGGGCCTAGCGATCCTTGGGTTGGGCGTTGTTAACATCAATGTTGGTTTAGGCGGGAAAAAGTAGGTTCCACCCTCGTACTGAACGAATCGCATAACCGGGGTTATAGTTTGATAGAATTGGAACGTCCTGCGGCGTACCATTCATCACCGCTGTTTCCACCCCACAATCTTAGGTAAAGTGGCCTTTCCTTATCTCGGCACAATGAACGTATTTTTTTTCAGGCCGGGTGATATTGCTCGGATCGAGGAAAATTCGACAGGAACGAAACCCAAAGGCGTTAGTAAGAAGCAGAAAGCTGGCGCCAATACACCAGCCACATCTGGCAGACAAATTGAAGGTGTATTGTACAAGGTACTTCTGCCGTCCTCATTGGAAACGGCTGTTTTCAACGCAACAGGTCTCTGACACTAGGATTGTCCTCGCGGTCGATCCGTCTGACCCAAACACGAATGAAGACATCGATCTCCCTGAGCGATCCCGCATTGTGAAACTAGCGAATAGCGTCACTTATGACAGGTAAATACATCCTGCATTCGCATGTGAAACATACCACCGATGGTGTTTCCGTGCAGGATGGAGAAGGCCCTCAACCAGCTCGAGAGAATGGTCTTGCCTCCTTCAGAAGCAGTGAATGTCTGGCTGCACCTCGTCGCACCGTCGCTGTTTCGTACTGAATTGACCTGCAGGTAGTGGGCAGATATACGCCCCCCATGTCGAAACTTGTCGAGGTGTTGCTGGGAATCTCCGCTCCTTCAGAGAGAATATCTCTCGAAAATATTGTTTTCTTTGATCCATCACTCAATGGGAGCCAGAAATCGGCCGTCAAGTTCGCCTTAGAATCGCAGGAAGTCGCCTGTATTCACGGGCCACCAGGTAATTGTAATTTAACATGGTGTTCGCCTCCGTTCAAGAGCAAAATCGGTTCGCAGGTACTGGGAAGACTCACACATTGATTGAGATTATTCGCCAGTTAACCTCGGTGAGTTCCACAAACCCTAAACCTCTGCGGGTCCTCGTGTGTGGCGCATCAAATTTGGCTGTGGACAACGTACTCGAGAGGTTGCTGGCGCTTCCGGTGGCGAAGTCTGAGAGCAGACTGAAGGTCACAAGAGTCGGCCATCCCGCCCGCGTTATGTCAGACGATAACGTGCTCGGATCGACACTGGACATGAAAGCCGGAAGATCCGATGAGGTAGGTACGATCATTTGACTTTTTCGGCGTCGAGTTCATAGCCTCCTTCGTGAGGCGGCACTCGCAAAAGACGTGAAAGATGAACTGGAAGCTGCTCTTGGGGTACTGTCTGGGAAAGGGAAAGGCGCGAAGGGAAAATCCCCTCGTGGTTTGGAACGGAAGAAGATGTGGGAAGAAGTTCGGGAATTGCGAAAGGAGTACATGATCCAAGTACTGCACGTTGAACGTCCTCCCTAACGTTTTCATCGACCAGGTACCGCAAGCGCGAGGGAGGGGTCGTCGAAGGCGTTCTGAACGACTCCCAGATTGTGGTGTCGACTTGCCATTCCTCCGGTGGAAGGCAGTTATACAAACAATCGTTCGATGTGGTCATCATTGACGAAGCGACCCAGGCGATGGAGGCCGTAAGTGCTTCCCTACGTCACGTCGAAGGCGCGGGTAGCTTACGATGAAATACAGGTTTGTTGGATACCGGTATTCAAGGCTAAAAAATTGATCCTTGCGGGAGACCCAATGCAATTGCCCCCCACTATTTTGTCCCTCAATAACAAGAGGAAGAATAAGCAGGGTCCCGGTTCCACCAAAGCCGCTGGCAAGAAGGCACCCGATCAAAAGGCTAAGGTAGGCTCAAAAGAGAAGGCCACTGCTCCGGATCCTCCCCCCGTTCAGGTCCCGCAAGACGAAGATCGCAACGCGGACCCCTCCGACGAGAGTGACGAGGAAGGTGATGCTATGATGAAGGATGACGACGATATTCCTCCGTTGGCAGGTGAAGCTGGGACTGGGGCTGAAACACCAGCCTCTGGGGAAAGTAAACCCCCCACGGTCAAAAAACTTCGCCGCGGTGACCTTGTCCCACCACGCACGCTCGAAACAACGCTATTTGACCGCCTTGAGAAAATGTACGGCCCAGGTATTAAGCGCCTACTCAACGTTCAATATCGGTATGGACGTTGCTTTCTGAACGTGGACGTTTTAAGAGCCTTCTGTTTAAGGATGAACCAGAAGATTGCCGAATTTCCATCAAAGGTGATTTATCACAGCAAGCTACGTTCTGACAAATCTGTGGCATCGCACCTTTTGGATGATCTGCCGAACACCTCTGCTGAGGACGACGATGAGACACAAGAGGTCCTGCGGACTCCTGTCGTGTTCATCGACACCGCGGGCTCAGAATACTATGAGCGTACCGAGGGTGACCACGACGAGGGAAGCAAGTGTAACGAAAACGAAGCGATGGTCGTCAAGAAGTACATCACTCGTCTGGTACGTCTTTGGGGTGAGTGCGAATCACGGACTAACAAAGACATCATGCTAGGTTGATTCCGGTGTGCTTCCCACCCAAATAGCTGTCATCACGCCGTGAGTGTTTCGAAAATAGCACACGATTGGGTACTAAGGGAGGGCCCAGGTATCAAGCACAAGTAACCCTTCTCGCGTCAATATTACGTCCGGTGTACGGCAGAGATATGGAAATAGGGACCGTTGATGGGATGCAGGGTCGAGAGAAGGACGCGGTGATAATCAGCCTTGTTAGGAGCAATGAGAAGGTAAACGTTTTCAGACTTTGTTTTCTGGGTTAACGGCTGGCACGATAGCGAGAAGTCGGATTCCTCAAGGATAAACGCAGGCTGAACGGTAAGAGGGGCGATCGTTTGTTTTACAGTTTTCTGAACCGGATATTCCAGTGGCTATGACGAGGGCGAAAAGACACCTGGTGAGCAGCAGTTGCCCGGACGCATGTGTATCGTGCTCTGATTGTGGGCTATGATAGTGCATTATCGGAGACTCATCTACAGTGCAGCATGGTGGGTTGTTTTTGAAGAAGTGGATGGTGTGGTTGGAAGCAAATGCGGATGTTAGGTACGATATTGTAGAGTGAGGGGAAGGTTCCACGGTCGGGGTGGTGATCGTAGATGCTGAATCTATTGTCAGGTCGTCGGACCGGTGGCGTAGTGGTTATCGCATTCGTCTTACACACGAAAGGTCCCAAGTTCGATCCTTGGTCGGTTCAATTTTTTTCGTCGTTTTTACTATCCTGCGTGCAGCATGTATACACTCCCTAGCTTTAATCATTACGAGCCTCATTGCACGTCAGGTACGTACAGCTCGGAATTGATGATCTGCTTCATTGAATCATGATTGATCGTGACTGGTTTCAAGATGTGGTAAGCGTGGGAAAGCGGCTATGCAGCTATGCGGATTCAACCGGGTGGCTGCCTTTCGCGCAACGCATCTTCGGCTTGAAGCTCCCAATCCAAAGTATCGATAATGGTCAAAGGTAAATAAAGCCCTTCACGATTCTACCGGTGACAAACTGACAGTTGCTGTGTGTAGTTTATAAGCCAGCAAAGGTTGGTGTGATTAGCTCGAACTGGCGTCCACAGGGCCTCACCTTTCACCACCTCGCGTAGGTTGCTATCGTCCTCCAAGGACGCCATGCCGGAAAGAAGGTCGTTGTCATCAAACAAAATGATGAAGGCACCAAGGATCGGCCCTTCCCCCACGCTGTCGTTGTTGGTGTCGAACGTTACCCCCAGAAGGTAACAAAACGAATGGGAGCGAAGAAGCTTGCCAAGAGGAGCAAAATCAAGCCTTTCATCAAGGTAAGTTTCCGGGAGGAACTACCATTTTCTTTTGGCGAGATTCTGACAACGCATGTGCAGGTTATCAACTATTCCCATTTGTTCCCCACACGATATGCCTTCGAACTGGAGGGTTTGAAGGGAACCGTTTCCGCGGAGACTTTTAAGGAGCCATCACAACGGGAGGATGCCAAGAAGAACATCAAGAAGCAGCTGGAGGAGAGGTACCAGAGTGGGAAGCACAAGTGGTTCTTCCAGCAGTTACGGGTGGGTTTTCGCTGTTCCTCTGCCGCCGTTCGGGGTTTGGTGCTGACAGATATCTCGCGTTCGCCAACAGTTCTAATTGCATTCTCTGTCGATTTTTGTTCAGTATATTAAAATCACTCTCCATGTGTACACCATGACCCTGATTCGTACATGACCCATGCATTGAACCAAGGCGAGGACAGCGATGGACTTTGTGTGTGAAGTGATGAGATCACGGGTTTCTGTCACCATGAGCTTCCAGTGTCACGATCGTCTCGATGCTTGTTCAGAACCATTAAGATGGACGCAAAATGTCTCGTGAGGGGATCCATCAGTACGCTGAACGAAGGAAATGCCGTCGATGAAACTGATTCCCTGGCCCTTTCTAGACATCGACGAGTATTTTCATGGTAGTTGCCGAGTGCTTGACTGGTCTTGGGCACTCTCAGATTGACGGCCATTCCCCAAGTGAAATCCATATCACGACCGGGGGAGACGATATCTTCTTCTGGCTATGAATGTCGACCAGGAGGCAAGGGCGCCAATCAAGCTGTGGCGATTGCTAAAGCTGGCGGGAGTGTGGATTTTATCGGGATCGTTGGACCAAACGGAAAGTGGCTGATTGACGAACTTCGCGACCGTGGCGTTGGTGTCAACAAGACGGTGATCGTCGAGGTCCGTAACCCGTTTCAGTGATTATGAGTTCTATGGTTGTGCTAAAGATGAAAGTAGGATACTACGACTGGGAGAGCAATGATCCAAGTCGCCGAGGATGGAGAGAACTCGATTGGTGCGGTAACTTTTACATCCAAACAAAAGGAAGCCCTCCAACCTTCTGGCCCCTTCTAGTTCTCCATCACGCAGCGAATCACATCGAGTTACCCCCGCCTACACCGGAGTCTCTGAGGCGCTTCACACACTTGCTTTTACAGAACGAGAGTCCATTGAAATCGACGACGGAGTATTTGTGCATCGCTCACGAGCTAGGTTTCGTCACGATCATGAACCCCTCGCCACTCCCGACCCCCGAACAGACACGGGGGTTTCCTTGGGGAAAGTTGAACTGGCTGATCGTGAACGAAGGAGAAGCAAGAGACTTACTCACGAGTGTTGGGGGGTCTCATTCAATTGATGCGATTGAGCTCGTGACCCCCTTTGAAGGGATTCTCGAACACCGCACGGTCGTTCTATCTGCCCATGCGATAGGCTCGAAGCTGGCGAGCCATCCCACGTTCAAAGGGGTGAATATCATTTGCACCCTTGGCGCGGTTGGCTTGGTGAGTTTCGTGTCTTTGGTCCGGGATGCCGGGAGGAAAGCATTCTACCTGCCCGCATCGAAACTCGATGGCCCCGTTGTTGACACAACTGGGGCTGGCGATTGCTTCACGGGTTATTTCGTTTCGGGCCTGATGAGCCTGGAGCAAGGTCACGAAGAAGACCTGATTGGCGTATTGAACACGAGCATCAAGGTACGTCCCGTTGAGATTCTCCAATGCTTTCTGATCTAACCCTGTTGCACGGACACACAGGCAGCGGGAATATGTGTACAGAGGAGGGGAACTATTGATAGCATCCCACTGAGAGGAGAAGTTTCCGCGTAACTCTATCAAGCGTGGACAGTGTGGCAGGGTGTGTACGTGGATTGCGGCGGTGGCGTTGTAGGCTCCGATGTACACGCAGACTTTGCCTCAATGATTCAAGCAGTGAAGGCGCCCTCGGCCACAATGAGTTCCATACCTATTCGGCAACAGGAGGCGGGACCCAGACAATGGAGCCAGAAAAGTAGAGGTTCCCGGTTTTAGGGGGAACACTTACGGCAATCTTAAAACGTACGCATGCAATTGATTTGGGCCATGTCCCTTTGGTGATCTGTGGCCGGTCGCCCCTCTTCACTGCCAACCAACATCAGCAAGTCGCTCTGCCACGTACGACCCGCCTCAGATGTCAAGCGGACGCCTGTTGCTGCGACTGACTCAACGTGAGGGATTGGGGCTGTTACTCTTCTCGGTGCCGGCAGGATCATTGAGCGCGAGGTGAGTGAAACTTATCGGGATCGCCCGAAGATGGACGAACAATAGAGCTTGGAATGTGGCAACGTCGCCTCTCCAGTGACCAAGGTCCATGGTCAGGCCACTTTGTGAATCTGAAAGCAGTCGACCGTATGCCAATATGAGCATTGGCCGTCGAGCGGGTCTGGATGGTGCCAATCAGTGAAAGAGGAAGTGAGGCGAGCCAACCCGGGATTGGTTGCCACACTTTCCAAACGCAAAGCGCCCGTTCTTGACTTAGACTCACACGATTACCCGCCGGCCTATATGAGGACGACCGTTTAATCGCTGGAAACCCATCACTCTTTCCCCTCTCATTCTCATTACCAACTCATCCTAACAATCTTGCATAACTATGAGCGGCAGAGGCGATCGTGGTGGACGTGGTAGGGGTAGAGGAGACGGAGGCGGATATCGTGGAGGAGGTCGCGGGGGTGGCGACCCAAGTTTCCGTGGTCGCGGAGGTGGCGACTCTGGTTTCCGTGGTGGTCGCGGAGGTGACGACTCTGGTTTTCGTGGTGGTCGCGGGGGTGGCGATCAAGGTTATCGTGGTCGTGGCGGAGGAGACTTCAGGGGGGGAGACTTCAGGGGAGGTCGTGGTGGCGGGGACTTCAGAGGTCGAGGAAGTGGCGATTTCCGGGGCAGGGGTCGTGGCGGACCTCGAGAACAGGGAGGGTAAGTAGTCTCTTCTGTCCTTTTTTCACCTCATCTCATCTGGAGCGCAGTGTGTTCCTCCAGAATGTCCCAGCTGCCTTGGACGCTCGTGTTCTAGACAACTCTCAAGATGAGCTCGTTAAACGCATGCAAGGGCTCACTATCAAGCCAACGGATCTCCCTCTTAGGCCGGACTTTGGCACCGTCGGACCGCAATTCAAGCTCAGGACCAACTTCTTCCCAATAAAACTGCCGAAGAAGACCCTCTACGAGTATGACATCACAATCACCCCCGGTACCACCATCAAGCGCATTAAGCGTAGGATCTTCGAGTTGGCCGAGGCGACGAATGATTGGACCCAACACGGCCTCAAGGGGAAAGTTGCTCACGACTTCACCTCGAAGCTCGTTGCGGTTAACAAGCTCCCGGATCCACTTGTCATCAAGATTATTTTCAAGGACGAGGACGAAGATGTCAAAGATGTTAAAGATGTCAAAGACAAGAAGAAACAGAAACCGAAGGAATATACCTTGACTTTCAAATTCGTAAAAGATTTGGACACTGATAATCTCCTCGAGTACGCTCGCCTTCATCTCTATACCAACACAATATCCTCACTTCATTTTCAAGCTTCCTTGCCGGACAGGATCGAGCCTACGAGGTTCAGCCAATCATCGCCGCTCTTAACTTGGTCCTTGCCGCGTTTCCAAACAGCGCCGCTGGACAGGGTGTATTGGTCGGTCGCAACAGATTCTTCTTCCGGTCTGGTGGGGTGCAACCCGTAAGCCTTGGTGGAGGCCTCGAGGCATGGAAAGGTTTCTACTCTTCCGTTCGACCTGCTTGGAAGCAGCTCATGGTCAACGTCAATGCTTGCACTACGGCTTTCTATCAACCACAGAATTTGGCCATGGCCATGATGCAGTTCCAACAACACAGTTTTGGTGCTCAAGCTTCTGCGTTCGTCAGGGGGGTTCGCGTCAGGACCACGCATCTCGGCTACAAGAAGACTGTCAAGAAAATTCATAGGTCAAATGCTCGCCAGCACAGATTCGATAGTGGGGACTTTGGCATGGTGACTGTTGAACAATATTTCAAAAAAAGTATGTCGGTCGTTGGCCAAGTTGGTCCGCCGCTGCGGGATACTGATGGTGAAATCCTAGAGTACAACATCGTCCTTTCTCGCCCGGAGTTGCAGCTCGTCGATGTGGGAGGCATGAAACAGAACCTACTCCCTCCTGAAGTCTGCGAAATACTTCCAGATCAGCCATATCGCGGCAAGCTCACCGACGAACATACTGCCGAGATGATCAAGGTCGCCGCACGACCTCCCAATATCAACGCCGGTCTCATCGTGGACGAAGGGCTGAAGAGTCTTGGATTCAAACAGAACGCTGGTCCCCTCAACGCTTTTGGCATCAGTATCGGTCAGGAGATGGCTGTTGTCCCCGGGCGCCTTCTACCTGCCCCTGGAGTCAACTAT